ATGTACGCAATCTTACTCTTAGCCTAATGAAGATAGAAAAATTATTTTTGATAGATGACTCAATGCATATCATACTTAAATAACAATAAGAAGGAAAATGTACTTACAAAAATAATAGCTTTGATATTGTCGTTGGTGATTGGAAATTGAAAACCTCCGTCTTTCATTAGTCTTAGCAATGTGGCAACTAAATTACCTTCACCTCCTAATTCACCATTATTCTTGTGCTCATTGATGATGCTTTCAAGAATGACATCTAACTCATGGTGAGCATCCATAATTTTACCCTTCATTCCACATAACACTTGAAGAAATTTTAGTGATGGAAATATATCAGCCACATCAAATCCTTCCATTAAATGTGATGCTTTTTTAACGAGTAGTATAAGTTCGTCTTGCTCTTTTAATACTTTCCCAAAGGTTGCTCTACAGGTCATAGAGCTTGAGAATTGGTAAAACTTTTTTGTTGCATTAACTGTCTCACCAGTAGTTGATCGAAAAAAATCAATCATACAAAGAACTTCATCTTGTCTAATAGAGTTGAATGATTTAACATTTTTTGCGCTAAGCAATTCCAATAGACATATTTTACGCATTTGTCTCCAGTAATCTCCATAGGGGGAAAAGACAATATCAGTTCCGTTATAAAAGAGAATCTCGGCAGCTAGAAGCTTGGGCCTAGATGCAAAAGCGAGGTCATGAGTTTTTAATACTTGTTTGGCCATGTCAGGAGAAGTAACAACAACTAGAGAAACTTCACCTAGTTGAAGGTGCATAATTGGTCCATATTTTTGGCTAAATCTCTAAGGACTTGATGTGGAAGTCCACCTAACAAATGAAACATGCTTCCAATCAAAGGTAATTTCCATGGACCTGGAGGCAATCTTTTGACTTTTCTATTGGAATTCTTCCATTTAATCAACAAAAAGAGGGAAGATACAAAAAGGAAAAGGAAAAGGGAAAAGAAGTTGAAGAGATGCATATTTTGAGAGGGTTATTTGGCTTGATAGGTTCTGCAAAGTGTTGTTGCATATGCTCTTTTAGAGGCTTTTTGTTTTGGAAAGAAATGACATTTTTGTATAGAGCGGAGTGTTGATATGTCAAAAACTCACTAGGATATTAAGATGAATGTGTAGAAATATAGTATTATTATGAAGGTTAATATCCAGAACAAGGTGAGATGTCCATTGGCAGAGTGACATTCAATAAATGTGATAATTTATCTCATCAAAGAAAATCGGTACCAAACACACCCTTAAACTTGTATAAAGTTGAACAAATAGATACCCACGTCCTACATGACATCCTACATGACAATTTGCATTCTATATGATATCCTGCGTATATTATGTCACATATGACTCATATGTTTACTTGTTAAATTTTATACAAGTTTAAGGGTGTGTTTGGTATGGAGTAAAACATTTTATGGAAAATATTTTCCAAATTTCCCATGTTTGGTTGACCTAAAATGTTTGGAAAATGTTTTCCAAATCAACTCATTTTCCTCAAATTTAAGGAAAATGACTTCCCTTCAAAAATTAAGGAAAATATTTTCCAAAACTCTACTTCATCCTTTCCAAAATTTAATAATCTAAAAATTCAACAATAATTAGTAGCCATCAAACAACATTAAGCTAAAACTTAATGAATCGTTTGGTTGGGAACAAGTTATCCTGAGATAAGTGATTCCACCATGTATATACATGTGATAACTTATCTCATCACTAAGGTATAATTAAATAGTGGAATAAATAATCTCAGGATTGTTTGATACCTCCAACCAAACGCAGAATAAAACAATTCTACATTTTATCTCTAAAACTATTTTACTTTATACCTCATACCAAACTACTCCTAATTTTACCACGCCTATAGCCACTAATCTTTATGAGAAAGGTCAACAAAATCAAAGATGTGGACTAGACATGAATAGTGACAATAAATTGAGTGGAGGAAAGTAGGAGCATTGGGGAAAGTAGGGGAGGGGTTGCCTATAATAATTAATCCCAATAATATTAATATGATTATGACATGTGTGGTGGAATGGGTGGCATGCCTAATATATAAACGTGTTTTAATTGGCATATCATGATATATAGATATATTTTTTAATTTGGCCTCAACTTACATTTTACGTCTTTTATTTTCGGATGTGCATAAATAGATATTTAAACTTGTATAAAGTTGAACAAATAGATACACACTTCCTACATGGCATCCTACATAACAATTTGCATCCTATATGATATCCTACGTATATTATGTCACATATGACTCATATGTTTAGTTGTTCAATTTTATTCAAGTTTAAATGTTTACTTGGCATAATTGTGAAATGCGGTCAAGTTAAAGGGCACATTTATATATTATGCCTTTTTAATTTTATATTATATGATATTTATGCCTCTAATTTTGGGTGTACACAAGTAAATACTTAAACTTATGTAGAGTTGAACAAGTAGACATACACGTCTCACTTGGCGTTTTATGTGACACTTCGTGTCCTACATGATATCCTATGTGGTGAGTATTATGTCACGTAGGATGTAAGTGTCTACTTATTCAACTTTATATTTTTAAATGCCTACTTGTGTATATCCAAAATTAAAAGATATAAATACGAGATGAGGTCAAGTTAAAGCTAAGGACATATTTATGTTTTATGAAAAAGAAAAAAAACAATATGATGATATTATTATACTATTATTGAGCTTTCAACATATACCAACATTTTTTTATTCAAAACATATTATACATTCAGTAGTAGCAGTCATACACATATACAAACATGAATGCATTGTCATGCCCCGAGCCTACACCTTGGACATGGCCAGCACACGAGCACCATCATTGGTCCCCAAGTTAACCCTTGATCTGACTGACTACTTAGTGGAAGACTTACTCAAGTAAAATGAAGACTCCAATTACCAAACTTTAACTGATAATATCTCAAAACAACTTAAATAAACATATGAAAACAACTCAAAGTCTCAAAACATTATAAGGAAAATAGTGAAAGACTTCTCAACTACTACTGTCTATGAAGCCTCTAAATACTACGATAGATGACGGGACAAGACCCGCGACATCTTAACAAAGTTGAAATATAAATGTGGAACTCTTCGGAAAGTAAGGAGGCTCACCAAAGCTAATTGAAATGCAAATGCTATCAACGGAGTGCCTGTTGATGACCATGAACACCTGTATCTGCATCATAAAAAGATGCAAGTCGAAAGACGTCAGTACATTGAATGTACGAGCATGTAAATGAAAAACTGAAAGCAATGATTAATTGAACTGACAAGGCTGGAAGAAATACTCACCTCTACTCAACTCAATACAAAGCAACAATGATAGATGTAATATTTGAAACATTAAAAAACAGGAGATAAAACTCAATGATGTATAAAAAAAATACCATAACATACTCTTTACTCTTATTTGGGAGATTTTCTAACCGACAACCATCACTATGAGCTATGTGATGATACAACGTCACGCCTATGCTGCCAAAACTGTCCTATACCTTGTCAGGGTGTAGAACACCTCAACTAAGTGGATCTATTAAGCTATGCTTAAAAGCAATAATGAGTCGTCTAAAAAGGTACGATCCTTTACCTATGTTGGCTACATGGTTTATGAGGAAAGTGAGTTATCTGAACTCATCCCCATATCGGTGCTCAATAGTACTCCCAACAATATAATCTCATACTCAAATGTATAAAACATAACTATTTCGCAATTTGAGGTAATTACTCAAAAGATCCTCTTAAAAGAGGTAGTACTCTGAAAACATCTCTGAACTCATAACTCATTTAGAAATCGATGTTTCTTTCATTAAAATGCAAAAGTGTTACACTTGGGAATACTTAGTTCCCTTAAACTCATTTTGAAACATGATATACAACTCCTCTCATTCTCATACTCATTTACTTAAGATTTAGTTCATAACTATAGTTAATTGCAAAAAAGTTCTCAAAATTGACTCAAAAGGGCCTCTTAAACTTCCCTCTTAATTTTACTTTAATTTGAAATGTAAATTAAGAGATGTGATTAGGATATGAAGGATCTCTCAAGGATTAATGAAGACTTTAAGATTACATATCAAGAACAGAGCGAAGACACAATTTGAAAGAACACACACGGAATGAAGAATGGAAAAGAAATATGCCTGACGACCCTGGCGCATTATTGGCGCAGGGGCCATGCCTCAAAGTAGCTTTTGGGGAGCCTCCTGGCGCCTTGGTGGCGCATTGCCCCACCCGAACCCAAAAATCTAATGAATTTTCTTGCTCAATTTCGGGTCTTAACTCATCTAGAATCGATTGGTTTCTTCCAAACTCTCTTTGATTCACAACCCCAACATGAAATTATCAAAAGTCCACTCAATTTCTATCAAGAACTCATCTCATTCGCAAGACTCTCACCTCAAGAACTCAAAACCTCCATTGTTAAAGAATGAGGCTAAAACTCAAGAACTCTTGAAGAATATTTACATAAATGATTTCAGGGACGAATTAATGAAAGAATTACATGTTTTGCGTAGGATGAACAAATCCATCACTATGGCAAACCTCACATTTGTAACACCCCAAATTCGGGAAAGACCAAATAGCAGATTTTCAGAGTTAAAGGTGCCACCGACGGAGGCCAAACCACGACATGTGGATGGGACCACGGACTGTAGGTAGGGTCCATAAGTTGGCCACCTAGAATTTCCCAGAAAAGCATGACCTACGGCAGGACCTACGAACCGTAGCTGGGTCCACGGTCAGTGGTCCAGTGTTCGTAGATCGTGACCCTCAAATCCATCCCGACGCCCTAGCAGGACGGACCGTCATTAGTCCACGGCCTGTCGGTCAGGGTCCGTTGATGGCCTCGTCAGCTTTTAAGTCAGGGTTGTTTTGGTCTTTTCCCTATGCATTGGGCAGCTAAATTACGTCGTTTAACTCAGTTTAAATCTAATAATCTAGTCAGAACCTAACCAAAACCTTTATTCACCAAAAATCATCCAAGCTTAGAGAGAAAATAGAAGAAAGAGGCACCAGTTTTCCCAAGAAGGAAAATGTACTTATAAAAATAATAGCTTTGATATTGTCGTTGGTGATTGGAAATTGAAAACCTCCCTCTTTCATTAGTCTTAGCAATGTGGCAACTAAACCTTCACCTCCTAATTCACCATTGTTCTTGTGCTCATTGATGATGTTTTCAAGAATGGCATCTAACTCATGGTGAGCATCCATAATTTTACCCTTCATTCCACATAACAAATGAAAAAATTTTAGTGATGGAAATATATCAGCCACATCAAATCCTTCCATTAAATGTGATGCTTTTTTAACGAGTAGTATAAGTTCGTCTTGCTCTTTTAATACTTTCCCAAAGGCTGCTCTACAGGTCATAGAGCTTGAGAATTGGTAAAACTTTTTTGTTGCATTAACTGTCTCACCAATAGATGATCGAAAAAAATCAATCATACGAAGAACTTCATCTTGTCTAATAGAATTGAATGATTTAACATTTTTTGCGCTAAGCAATTCCAATAGACATATTTTACGCATTTGTCTCCAGTAATCTCCATAGGGGGAAAAGACAATATCAGTTCCGTTATAAAAGAGAATCTCGGCAGCTAGAAGCTTGGGCCTAGATGCAAAAGCGAGGTCATGAGTTTTTAATACTTGTTTGGCCATGTCAGGAGAAGTGACAACAACTAGAGAAACTTCACCTAGTTGAAGGTGCATAATTGGTCCATATTTTTTTGCTAAATCTCTTAGGACATGATGTGGAAGTCCACCTAGCAAATGAAACATGCTTCCAATTAAAGGTAATTTCCATGGACCAGGAGGTAATTTTTTGGTTTTGCTATTGGAATTCTTCCATTTAATTAACAAAAAGAGGGAAGACACAAAAAGGAAAAGGGAGAAGAAGTTGAAGAAATGCATATTTTGGGAGGGTAATTTGGCTTGATAGGTTCTGCAAAGTGTTGTTGCATATGCTCTTTTAGAGCTTTTTTGTTTTGGAAAGAAATGACATTTTTCTATGGGGATGGGGTGGAGTGTTGATACATCAAGAATTCATACGTATAGAAGATGAGAGTTAATGAAAATATAATTTAAAAGTATATTTTTTTGATAATTTTTTAAATTAAATTATAATTTAAAAATATTAACACAAATATCGACAAGACAATATTATATAGCGTTAGGATTACTACTTGTTATACAACCAGTACGTATGCATTCATGTCTGTATATGTGTATGACTGCTACTAGTGAATGTATAATATGTTTTGAATAAAAAATTGTTGGTATATGTTGAAAGTTCAATGATGTGGGTTGTAAACCTTATTAGATACCATTGACTCTGGTATCTAATAAGTTTTACCTACTATTGGATTTAAACCAATGACTCCCGCCGTATGAAAGCAGTACTCTAACCACTGAGTTAAGTAGGTCATTTATCATCCCAAAGAGAACCAAATGAAACCCATCCTGTCGATGGATTATAAATATCATATTACTTATAAGCAATACTAATCTAAGGAATACCACTCAGAGAGATCAAAGATTCTTGATGTTGGATCATGGAATATTTCTCTTGATAAGAATTTACCTACATGATAAAATATGTATCACAAGCACTAAGGGCTATAGCTCAGTTGGTAGAGCAACTCGTTTACACGCGCGCCAAATAATATCGCCTTAATGTTTTCTTTTTTCTTTTTTCATAAAACATAAATATGTCCTTAGCTTTAACTTGACCTCCTCTGATATTTATATTTTCTAATTTTGAGTATGCACAAATAGGCATTTAAAAATATAAAATTAAATAAGTAGACACTCACATCCTACGTGACATAATACTCGTCACATAGGATATCGCGTAGGACACGAACTGTCACATAAAACGTCATGTAGGATGTCATGTAGGATGTGTGTATCTATTGTTCAACTTTATATAAGCTTAACTATCTACTTGTGCACATCTGAAAATGAAAGAAATAAAATATATGAATTGAAACCAAGTTAAAACACGTTTATATATTAGGCATCGTTTTCCTTATCTTTCGTGATAAGTTTATAGAACTGCATGACACATGTCACCCATTCCACTACACATGCCATAATCATATGAATATTATTGAGATTAATTATCATAGGCAACCCCTCCCCTACTTTCCCCAATCCTCATACTTCTCTCCACACAATTAATTTTCACTATTCATGTCTAGTCCACATCTTTCATTAGGAATCTTTTGGTATGAGATATAAAGCAGGGGAAAGGGTGTGATATACCCCTTAATTTTGTCATTTAGAGTTGATATACTCTTGTTATAAAAATGATTCACATGTACCTTCTACCATTGCAAAATTGGCTCACATATACCCCTTATCGTTACTAAAGTGACTCACATATACCCTTGCCATTACAAAAGTGATAAAAATAATTTTAAATTATTTTTTTTGATATTTTTTAAAAAATCATGCATTTGATTTTTTTCCAGAGATAAATTATTTTTTTGCCTTCTTTGATTATTATTATTATTATTATTATTACGAGTAAAATTAGCGCGAATAATATCACCGAATTTATAAAATAATATTTCAAACCTATCAATCACTAAAACTTAGACACTATATTACGTAGTAACAAACATTAATAATGTAAAGGAAAATGAAAATTATTACATCTTATCATTATCCTTTACATTTATCCTTAATAACATAAGAATAAATTAATGACGGTAAAAATACATACCACGATCTGTAAAATAAGCAATGCTGTCAGTGAGCCACTCAACAGAAGCAAAATACACAAATATTTAATTGTGAAGAAGAAGAGG